GCACCGTGTGACTTTTTCCTGTTTCCCAAACTCAAATAACCACTCAGAGGAACGCGTTTTGAATCCATAGAAGACGTAAAACAGAATTCGCAGAGGGAACTCAAAGCCATACCGGAAAGCGCCTATAAAAAATGTTTTGATGATTGGAAGAAACGTTGGCATTTGTGTATCGCTTCTAATGGAGCATATTTTGAAGGAGATAAAATAAATATTGATGAAGATTAAGAATTTTGCGTTTTATTTAAATTTCCGGAAACCTTTCGGTCACAATGTATTTCTTAAATAAATTTTTTAATTAAATCAATTTGAAACCATATAAGAAGTATAACCTTATATCTTAAGGTTTTAAGCTTTTTGTTAAATTTCTGTTAAAATTCTTACCACCAATTGTCTTAAAGTTAACGGACTGCAAAACAGAGTAGTGAATGGCACTTTATATGTATACAAGGAGCTATTAAGCATATTATGAGCACTATGTAAAGGTACATGTGAGTCATCACAGTGTAGACACTATAAGAGATACTTGCATAATAGTGCAACTATGAGACAGGACACTAAGAAATCGTTTTCACTTCCACAGACTCATATTGGTTCATTGTAACATTAAAAAAAAACAGAATTTGTCTGTATTAATTTTTTTTATATTTTAATCAAAAACGGAATTATATACAAAGCGTGTGAAATTGAAATGAAAAAATGATTTGGATAAGTTCAGACTAGCAACTGTCACAAATACATATAAAATTGATTAAAGTCTATTTGCATACCGTTCAGCCGAAATAAATAGCCGCAGGAACCTAACCATTCACTTTGTGTCCTCATGAAACCTCGTGAACAAGTTTCGCATTTAGTGAGGTTCAGAGCAACACACACCCGCTCAGCCACCAGCAGCAAATATTCATAGTTGACGCCCCTCGCAGATAGTCCCGTGTTTAACGGTGCATTAAGAGTAAATTTTGTATTCCTAGTAGCTTAATTTAGCGCCTTTTATGTATTTTCATATTAAATAGAGAAATAAAGTAAATCCCACAGGATAAATTCCGACGCTGTCACACATCGCATCATTGCGTGCGAGATACAAATGGACACATATGGTATGTATGTAACATAATCCATGTATACTCGTATATATATGTCTGTATGAACAGATATTTGAGCTAAAACGCGGGCACGGAAAGGTGCAAATAATGTTAAATGCACTACAAATCGTTTGAAAGCATTTACCTCTAGGCAACAATTGCGGTATGATGCATTTCCTAGAGGGGTGTACATTTTTATAAACATGTGCCCCAGAGTTGTGTGACTATATATATGCTTCCGGAAGCTATAGGCACTGATGCTAAAACAAATCCATTGTAGGTTACTAGTTAATGATGTTGACCTAACGTGAGAAATGAAAACCAAAAAAGGGTTTGGTACATAAAGCACTGATTAAATAATTGGAAGAGATAGTTAGTAGTGCAAAGTCCTAAACTTATTCGATTGCTAAAAGCTTTACAATGTAGCAATGTGATTTTATGATTTTGTACTGGGTGCACTCATATCTATTGATATGTACGTAAATTTATCCTTTTCTGTGTGCCTATTTACTGACTGGAGTCGTATGACTGCGCTTCCGTTTATGCAATTAAGGACCTGGTAAGTTGGCATTAAATTGTATCTGCCCATATGCCAGAGAAATGCGTTTCAAATGCAACAATCCACCAACGAACAAACGAACTATAAATTTTTTAATTTTTTAATTTTTAAATCATTTTCAGTTTCCTTTGTTGTTTTTCGCAATAACCAAAATTTCATTTACCAGGACTAAGCCACGTTGCAATTTGGTTGGCAAGCGAAATGCTAATGACTCCCCCGTCACACAAATTTTATGCAGAAAAGTCTTATGAAAATCTAACATTAAGCAAACTTCTGAGAAATGAGCTACAGGAAGAAGTGTCCAATAAGTTAGCAATTTAGCTGAAGTACATTGCCTTTTGCAAACTCTTAACGTTTGAAGAAGAGAAGAACGAGGACATAAGACAAACAGACGAACAGACGAAAGAACCAAATGAAATACGTTGCCTGAACTTTTGTGGGTTTTAGCGTAAATTTTAGTATATTTTCCACTAAAAGAAATGAAAAACACCGAGAAAATATGTGTTTTGAGCAGAAGAAAACGGACGGGGGAAAGTGAATGGTTGTAGTCTTATGTATTGAACGCGAAGGAAATAAATTAACAAGAATCCGGGCAGACGCAAATAGTGTCAATGTTGCTAGCGGCACCGCTGTGTCAGGCTGCACTATCCTTTGAGCCCGGCACTCGCTAAAGGCTTTCATTAAAACGTGCCTTCAATGTCTAATTGTCGAAAATAGCAGAACCGGAAACATTTTTATGTGAACATTCGAGCGCATGTGTTGGCATAGGGAGCAGCAGGACATTTTTGTGTAAAAGTCAACGACGAAAATAGCAACGGGAACAGAAAAAGCAATCATGTTGACCTGCGTTGATTACTGTCAAGGTAACATTAAGCATTGAGGGCACTATAGGGAGTGACAGTGACACGCAGTAGTGTTTTTGTGCCTACTGAATTGATAGTCAACTATTTTTGAATAATCAAACCTCATGTTTATTTGGCAGTGAAGAGATCCCTATAAATATGTAAATATTTCTTAAAGTTATTGAAAACTATGATAATCCTTCTCCTCTTTATTTTGTTCAATATACTATTTCTATATATACTTCATCTAAAGTAAGATGGCATTATATAAAAATTTCAGTAACATGTCATGAAGCATAACAAATTAAATAGTCCGTAGCAGATCTCAATATCCAACATTAAAGAGATCCCATTAATTTTCTATTGAACTAACATTGTCGACTTCAACCATTCAATGATTTTAATATCGAAATTTAATAAATTTCTTCTGAATATTGAACTAAAAGCTGAACTTAAACTTAAACACAGTTTTCTTATCCTCAATGCTAGAACTTAGGAGTTATTACAACCTAAAATCGTCTTGGTTTTATAAATTGTGCAAATTTTGTAACTTTCGTCTAAAATATTTGCTGGCAACTTAAATCGCCGGTACCACAATCAACTGCACTGTACACCCACGAACATACATAGGGCAACGATATAGAACGATATGGAACGACTCCAAGACAAGTTTCCCGCACATCAATTCCCACTTCGGCAGTTAATACTTTTATTCCATTCCGGAGCTATTGTGCAAGCATGAAGCGTACAAGTTGTGATTAAGTGTGCACTTGTGTGCAACTTTTGCATCTTAACTAACGTATGGTTCTCCCCAAAGCGACTTACGGCATCCTGGCAGCTTCTGCGGTAATGCGTCCGTGCATGTGGCGCAATGTTGTCATCGTTAGAAGCATCTAACCACAGCAATGCAGATGTATAACAAAAGCGAGCGAAAATATCGCAGTGGCTGCCATGGCCGAGATAAGATGTCAATGCAAAATGCATTGCTGACGCTTGTGCTAGTGCTAGGAAGCAGAAGGTATCTGTTGGTTGTTCCAGTTTGCACAGCTACTAAACTCTATTAATCGTTGGCATTAATGTTTTCTCCGTCATCGCCGTTGTTGTTTGCTGGTATTTTGACCATTTTTCGTTGACTTAATTACAAAAGTTTGCTGCATTCTCCTAATGCCAGCGCTTGTGTCTTCCAATGACAGAATTAAAAAACTCCAACAAAACAACACCGAAATTAATGAAAAATAAATAATCATAAAAAAGTTTAAACGGTATTTTCCTTTTAAGTCGGTGAATCCAGGACGAGGAATGCATTTTATTGGCTAAATGATGCTTTGAAATATTTTCACTTAAATTTTGTCTGAGAACTGAGAACCGAAACCCGAAAAACTTAGCAAAGTGAATTCAAGCTAGAAAAACAAAATTTGTACTTAGTAATATTCAGATAGAAGTTCAGATTTTAAGAAAACTGCTATATGAGTTCTATTGTCTAATATTTTTAATGTGCTTGATTGAGTAGAGGAATTGTTACGGAAAGCGTTATTAAAAATTCCCATAAGAAACAGAGTTTTCAGTGAAAAAATCTAACTAAAGTGAAATAAACCAAACTCGTTCCTTTTCACATCAATCTTTCTTACTCATACGACTGTCTCAAAATTAGAATTTGCTGAAGGGACTAACAAAATTGGAAAAACAACTCTGATTAAAAAATTTCTGTATATATTTGGCGGGTGGTAATGGTGAATGTACATAGAATAGAATAGAATTTTTATTACTAACTAACGGTGAGACTATAAGACAGATTTCCAAGTTCTGCAGTTATTATTGTCTGGTTAAAGGAGGAAAAATGACACCAGTCAGCAATTGGATTTCACTTGTTCAAAAATCGTTACTAGCTACCCCGTGCAGATGTTTAAAGAGATCTTATCCCGAAATTTCCACTTGCAAGTTATTACACGATATTAAAATACAGCAACAGAACGAGCAGGGATTTAAGTCTTCAACTTAATATTTGTAATGTTGTGTGCGGCTACAACGACAGGGCTATACATCTTCTGGTT